CGTAGACGCACAACAGCGACGACAAAGAACGCACACATTCTAATATCGGCGCTTTAAAGAGACTTTTTTTTACTTTTAAACAACTTTTATTGCCGCCAGCAGCAACAGCACTGGAGGCGATTCCGATATGAAATACACAGTCACCAGCAAACAAATAAAACAAACACGATACATCCACGCGCTGTGGCGCTAGATGCACCGCACACAACACGAAATAAAAGTCACGTGGTGGTGGTGGTTGTGGTGGTCATCGCGCACGGCACGCTGACGAGCGAGCGCTTCAGAAGGTGAACACCACGAGGGTGCCGTCCACGCTGGTACAGAGAGGGGCTTGTCCGGCTCCCCAGCGCTCGAAGAAGACGCGCTGCACATCACCGACACGTGTGTGGCACGGTTTGGGACAATGGTCTCCCTTGTGTGTAAGTAAGCGTGTTGAACTTCTTTCGCACCGTACGTAGCCAACCACGCGAATCGGACAACAAAGCAAACGCAAGAAGCAGTTCTAAAGAAGTGAGTCTTCAATGATCTTCACAGCCCACGAAAGACACTATGAGACCTCCTTTACCAGTGGCAAAATATAGTAGTAGGTTTTTACCCTTTAAACTGGTACAAAACTGACACCTTTCTACAAGGCATCATGTTTGCAATAACCACAACACAAGCAGTCAAAATGCAAACAAAAAGAAACAACTCTGATAATGGTATACCATTATCAAAAAGAAACAACTCTGATAATGGTAATGATATACCATTATCAGAGTTGTTTCTTTTTGTTTACATTACCATCATCAGAGTTGTTTCTTTTTGTTTGCATTTTGACTGCTTGTGTTGTGGTTATTGCAAACATGATGCCTTGTATAAAGGTGTCAGTTTTGTACCAGTTTAAAGGGTAAAAACCTACTAGCCCACGAGAGGTCCAGAGAGTAACCGCCAAAATAAAATAAAAGGGGGCTGATTGGAGAGCATCTTTCCGCGGGGCTTGTGACGGTTCCAACTCAGAGGGATTTGTCGTTGTGTTGTGTGTGAGAGTCACGCAAACCCAGCTCCTGCACGCCCGGTTCACGGGAAATCCTTTTGCCAGTACCAACATATGAAAATAGGGTTTTCCCCTTTTATCTGGCCAAAAAATACTCTGATAATAGATGCATTGTCTTTGAAACTGATTGGTCCACACCAGAGACAGCTTTCTTTTGAGCCTCGTCTCAAACGGTGTTAGACCAGCTGACGCCAAAAGGCGTACTCCTTGGACCAATAAGTTTCAAAAACAATGCGTATATTATCAAAGCGTGCTTTTTTCTTTGCATTTCTACCACAAGTATTGTGGTTCACGCAGACATGATTCCTTGTAAAAGGTTTCAATTTGCTGTTTTAACAACTTAACACAGCTGTTTTGTTGCCAGATAAAAGGGCGAAAAACCTATTTTCGTGCCTTGCATCTAACGGTCGTGTTTTGTGCACAGCAGCGCTGTGTATACATGCAACAAATTACACCAACGCGAAGCAGTTTATTGTTGTTGTCAAAAGCAATTCCCCTACTACAGGCCTTCATTGTGCGGGGTTTGTGTACGACACGTTGCATGTAATTATTAAAGTGCGTGACTGATCCTAGGATGACCCCAGAATTCACAGGGACAGATCCCCAACGTGATCAAAAATGGCCAGAAGACATCACCTTGGTGATTTGTTCTACTGTGGGCGATAGCAACGTATAATTGTCTCCCTGTGTGTATCTCCATGTATCTATGTATGTATCTCCGTGTCCCTCTGTGTATCTCCATGTATCTATGTGTGTATCTCTGTGTCTCTCTGTGTGTATCTCCATGTATCTATGTGTGTCTCCATGTCTCTCTGTGTGTATCTCCATGTATCTATGTGTGTCTCCATGTCCCCCTGTGTGTATCTCCATGTATCTATGTGTGTATCTCCGTGTCCCTCTGCGTGTATCTCAGTGTCTCTCTGTGTCTAAATCCATGTCTCTCTGTGTGTATTACTGTGTCCCTTTGTGTGTATCTGCATGTCTCTCTGTGTGTATCTCCATGTCCCTCTGTGTGTATATCCATGTCCCTCTGTGTGTGTCTCCGTGTCTCTCTGTGTGTATCTCCGTGTCTCTCTGTGTGTATCTCCGTGTCTCTCTGTGTGTATCTCTGTGTCCCTATGTGTTTATCTCCGTGTCTCTCTGTGTGTATCTCCATGTCTCCCTGTGTGTATCTCCATGTCTCTCTGTGTATCTCCATGTCTCTCTGTGTGTATCTCCGTGTCTCTCTGTGTGTATCTCTGTGTCCCTCTGTGTGTATCTCAGTGTCTCTCTGTGTCTAAATCCATGTCTCTCTGTGTGTATTACTGTGTCCCTTTGTGTGTATCTGCATGTCTCTCTGTGTGTATCTCCGTGTCTCTCTGTGTGTATTTCCATGTCTCTCTGTGTCTATATCCATGTCCCTCTTTGTATCTCTGCATCTTAATCTATCTCCATGTATATGTGTGTGTGTCTTTGTGTACATCTCCAAACATGTGTGGGGAGCGATCGTGGAGCGTTTCGCGTGCAGCGACACAAACCCAGAGACCCGAGTTCGATTCCCCGTTCACGGCCAACAACAGTGATGATTATCTGAACCGATCCTGGGCCTCGTTTAGGTCGACTCAGCATCAAATGAGTACCTGGTACAGTATGCATACATTGCCACTAGGGAGACAAAGGCGTCCGGGCGTGGTGCTGGCCACCAACCACCTCGTGTGCCGTGCCGGCCTTCATAGGTGCTCGCTAACCGCACTTGCCCCAAACAATCAGAAATTATTGCTTTAGTTTGCATCTCCGTATCTCTATGTGTGTATCCCCATATCCCTCTCCATATATTCCTATGTGTATATCTCTGTGTGCATGTCCATGTCTCTGTGTATCTCCGTGTGTGAGCGTCTCTCTCTCTCTCTATCCCCATGTCCCTCTCTGTGTGTGCTTCTCACAACATTACCATTCAGTTTTTTTGCAAATTTCGAAAATAAGGGGACAATCCATTTACATGTGAATCCTTGACATGGCGTATTTCTTACAGGATCTGGATATACAATAAAAACAGATCTCACTGGGCGCTGGGGAAGCTCGCTGGTTTGCAGAACGCAAGGGTCTTTGGATACTGATTTGTCCAAACAATGCATAATACATGGCGTTGCCGAAAAGTGGAAAGTGCTAAAAATCGACGCATGCACCGTCGGACTCATTAACAAATGACAAATCACCGGGTTTCCTTGCCTGCAGGCTGAAGCAGTTTTTTTTTCTCTCTTAAAAAAAACCCACAGGAAATGCAGTCTATGCTGCGTCAGCAACCTGTGCTAGGCTAATAGGAATTGATATACAGTATAGAGAGGAATAGATCTTTATTCAGGGGGTGAAGACAAATGACAAGGAGAACGTAGCGTCTGCGTTCTGAAGATGAGTGCGACGATTGTACAGCGAAGAAAAGGAGCTTTCCACCAAGACAGACGTCAGATTCCACGAGACTTCATCCCCTGTTCCGCGGATCGAGATATAATTACTCTTCGAATTGATTTGCACCCAGATATATTTGTTGGTGGTGGTGGTGGTGGTGGGAGGTGGAAATGACAAGTCACGATAACAATTGCTCATACCGTGTGACGTTGCGCGACTATTCGCGTGTTGGTTCGAACTATGCGCCTTTTATTTTATCAGGCGAGAGCCCTATTGACATTTTTCTGGATGCAATTGTGGGCCGTGGGAGTTACGTGTTTTTTTTTTTTTCCACCATACTTCACCAGACTGATCGGTGCGCACCGGTGAATACAATGCGCGTTTATAAGTCGTCATGTATATGCTGCACTGCCCTCTGCTGCCCACGTCGTAACGCCCTCGGCAGCCTATAAGACCTGTTAATTGTATTGATGGTCATCCCTCCAAATAGTGCGCAGGTGAAACTCTGACAAGAGATCAGGCAACCTGGTCGATGTCGTGAGACGCGACGTTGATTCGTGCCCCGTAAGGCAGGCTCAGCATGTAATTCCTCATTGCTCTCAGTCTCGTTAAACGCTTTACGTACAAGCAATTGTATTCCCACCGTTGGCGAAGCGAGTAATGTTAAAGTCGATTTAAAAAAAGCCCAGCACGGAACATTTCCCCCTGTAACCATTTCAACCTGGCCAATTGCCGTTAGCGAGCACCTATGAAGGCCACTACGCCTCACGAGGGAATGGGTGGCCAGCACCACGCCCGGACGCCTTTGTCTCCCCAGTGACGATGTTTACACACCGCACCAGGTACTCATTTGAGGCTGAGTTGACCGTAGAGGAGGCCCAAGACCGGTTCAGATACTCATTAAAGGTATTGGTCGTGAGCAGGATTCAATCTCGCGTCGCCGGATATGTATTGTGGTGCGCTAACAAAGACAAAGATCCCCCGTGTAGCCTGTAAACAGACTGTTGGGGAAAGTGCTGTTAGCGAGCATCTATGAAGAGGGGTTGGGTGGTCAGCACCACGTTGGCTGTCTTTGTCTTCCCCATGCTGTTAACGCACAAAAACTCAGTACTGTACTCATTTAAAGCGGAGTCGACCTATGGGAGGCCCGGGACCGGTTCAAATATTGGCAACTCTTATTGGTCCTGAGCGGGAATCGAACTCTGGCGGCCGAGTTCGTAATGCGGTGCGCTAACCACAGCGCCACCGCTCCCTCTAACCACTAAACTACCTTTTTGCACACCCATCCAGGCATGGGTATGCCAGCATTACACGCGCGCGCACACACACGCACACGCTTCACATTTGAAGATGCGATCGCATAGGCAACGCACTTGAAGGCGCTGACCTCAACAACGTAACACAACCACAACAACAACAGTCTGCGCGTGTGTCGCACATGCACGCACCGGCGGGGGGAACACCACTCGCATCTGTGGCTCGCTGCGAATGGCCCCTTATTCCTCGACTGCACGGCAGAGGCGCTCCACATCAGGCGTCACAATCACGACTCCAATTGTTGCCGCCAGTGCCCCCCACCCCACCCATCGCCATTCCGCCCCCTCGCCACTCATTCCACCGCGAGAGCAGCGGGCAATGCAGTCGCAGGAGTGCGACCACCGACCGTGTCCCCTTCTCCTCGCCCGTGCAGCGCAGAGCTAGAGGAACAACCCTCTTCTCGTTTCAACCCCGAGCTCCGAGCACGGCTGGCCGTACGCGCATCCTCAGCCCACTCGATGCATCTCGGCGGCCGACGAAGTCTTGATCGCGCCACTCTCGCCAGCGACCCGCACCCTTTGCGAGCACGCCAGATGCTCAGCTGCGTTCTATCTTTGCGCCTCGTCTCGTTTGTCTTCTTCGTCTTCTCAGCATCATCAGCAGCAGCGACATCAGCAGCAGCAGCGTCAGCGGCTGCGATCCGAAGCCCAGCGAAGTGCAACGGCGGTGCCGAGGCGAGCGGTCGGATCACGCGCTCGGTCGGCTGGGGTGGACATCGCATCGCTTAAGAAGACTCATCCTCTGTTGTTCATCATCATCATCATCGCCGCCGCTGCTGCTGCTGAATAGCATCTCTTCCTGCGCGCATATGTGCAGAAGAATCGCTCCGTCCCCCCACGCTGTGTGTGTGTGTGTACACACACGCGCGCACGTGAACAATACGATATGATATAATAATGTACAGCGCAACATTAAGGGCACAGCAGCGTGTTGCTATTAATTAATTATTATTATTCTCTTGCCGGGCGTTCGAGCGGACGGGGGTATAAGGAGGAGAAAGAGAGAAGCGAGAGAAACCCGGAGCAGCAGCAGCAGCAGCTTAGCAGCGGCGTTCTGTGCATCCCGGTCGCCCGGCCTCCGCGGTCAGAGTCGTTGGTCGCATTGGCGATACGGGATGAGTACGGCGTCGATCCATGCTCTGCTTACGTTCTGCCTTCTCGTCATCGAAATAATTACATGCGTCAGGTACGTTCGTCATCGTGCATCGTCCGGTCACCTTTTTTGTGGGTTTTTTTTTTTCCGCAAATGTCACTTGGCCAAACTTGGGTGCCCATGGATATGCGTTTTGCGGTATGTGCGTATGTATGTTGAACTTCTTTCGCACCGTACGTGTGTGTGGAGTGAATAGACACTTCGGATCTGTTTTGTTCTGCTCTTGGTCTATCTTTTGATGAGATTGTATCGAATGCGCCGGATTAATATCTTCGTCCAAGCCAAAAAGTCCCATCATCGCATATGAAGTCGGCTGCTCAAATTGCATTTCCCTTTGCGCTTCTGTGATTTCGTCTTCTCCGGCCACTTCCACGATTACCGTACCTCGATCCACAACATCCGTCTCGCTCTCTCGCTCCTCCATGCCCATTGAAGTCAATGCGAAATTGTTTCGCGTGTGCTTACATTCATGCTTGAACATAGCACAGCACCGAGCAATAAGAGAATTGCGCGCGCTATGGTGAGCGCAACATTTTTTTTAAAGGGCCGCGCGTTACAGCTGTCATCCGCTCTTAAGCCGCGACTTGTAGCGTCGGAGAGGTCAGGATGATCTGACTGGCGAGACTCGGCGGTGATTCCTAACTTTCACGCGTCAGCTCTTCGCTGATTGTGGTTGTCGGCACGTGCAGGACAGCTGGCGGCGTGACCGATCTCATACAACGCAGACTGACGGCGTGGGGATACGGCGGATGGCATTGCCGTCAAGAAGATAGGAAATGCATGCGTGCCCCGTATCCTCGTAGTGTAAAATGCAGCACGTGTATAAAGTAGCATTTGAAGTAACGTTAAGGTGAGCGATATTTAGCCGTTTTTAATCTCCAAAATTAAATTGCATTACAGGGACTGCTACGTAAAAGAATTGATCGTAATAAAACGTTAATTTCGTACGCTCGAGTTGAATTCCATTAGCGACAGACTACAATGTAACAAGACTACAATGTGCTAGAACAACAACATCAACAACAAAAACCACACGCACACACTAAAGTTAGTTTGTGCACACACACGCGCGTCAAGTAAGCCTCTAGAGTTCAGAAAGCGTGGAGGCGTCGACATTGAGGACGATGCGAAATGTCGTTGCCGTTGTCGTAAATGATCTTACGCGTAAATAGTTCGTTTTTTGGGGGGGGAAATTCGCAGCGTCAATCATATTGCGAAGTGTAGTTGAGTATCGTTATTTCGTTGACTCCATTAGCGTGCCACGAAGCCAAGGCGCCATTTTGACATGGGTTTTTTTTTGCTTTCCGTTCGCACTGAGTGAGCTGGTGAGACAAAGACAAAGGTCCCCCCGTGTAGCCTTAACACACTTTTGGGGCAAGTGCTGTGAGCGAGTAGCACCTATGGAAGGCCGAAACGGCGCACGAGGGAGTGGGTGGCCAGCAACACGCTCGGCCGCATTTGTCTCCCCAGTGGCGATATTTACTCACCGGGTGCTCATTTGAGGCTAATTCGACCTAGGGGAGTCCCAGGACCGGTTCAGATAATCGTCACTGGTGTTAGCCATGAGCGGGAATCGAACTCGGCTCGCCTGGTTCGTAGCGCAGCGTGCTAACCAATGCGCCACCAATCTCCACGTTCACACACACACGTTCACACACACACACGTGCACACACACACACACGTTCACACACACGTTCACCTACACGTTGTACATACATTCATGAAAATACACCAACACACGTAACAGCAACCGACAACAATCGCCATTGATAACTAAGTGGCGGTGACATCCCACTGGCTTTTGCCAGGCTAGGTGCACGTTGAGGCCACGTGAAGTGTGAAAGGCTGCATGGCCGTAGGTCACGGGATAGACCTCGGTGCCATGGTTTGACTGATTCAGGATGACTGGCCGAGGCAACAGCTGTGCTTCTCACTGCGCAAACTTGTTGCGTTTTAGCCGCCTGTTGCTCCGCTCGTTGTTGTGAGCGTAGTTCCTCTGCCCTCGGCTACTTCTGGAGGCGGACTGCCTCAAACTGCTCAGCAGCGTCCTTCACGAGCCTCCTACACAGAGGCCGATCTTGACACCGCTGGTATACCAATCATCGGCACGTCCACTCAGCTCCATATCCTTCTCGTATCACATCACTCCATCGCTTCTCTAGCCCGTGCCGCGCCCGTTTAGCACCCTTTATCCGGCCAAACAGAAGCTGCTTGGGCATGCGGTTGCTGGGCATGCGCGTTCAATGACACATCCAACGCAACCACACACACACACACTCTCCGACACACTCTCTCCAACTCCTCAATAAGATGTCTGATTAATACGCACATCAATGAGCACATACACGCGCGCGCATGCATTTATTATCGGAGAATTGCCATTTCTCCTGCACGTAATTGAGACACGAGTCTGTGCGTGTGCGTGCGTGCGTGCAAGAGCATGCAATACATGTGGCCGTATCAATATGTGAGAAAAGAGTCGGGGGATGGACGGCATGCTCTACCGTCAAGCTCCATTAGCCGTTATCGCCGCATGTGGCAGCTATTTTGACAGTCTGCTGTCTCAATAGCTTAGCGGGGGAATCGATTCGGGGGAGAGAAAAAAAATACACGTGCCATCCAACGCAGCGTGCTGTCTGTGAATATAACACACACACACACGCGGAATATATATATGCGAAAAGCGGAACCGATAGACTGTAATGGAAACTGATGTGGCTGTTTAAATTCTAGCTGAAAGTGAGAGAAAGAGAGAGAGAGACTGGAATGGATGGAGGTCGGTGTGGGGGCGTAGTAGGAAATGCGATTGTGCAGCAAGCCAGCCAAACAACATCGCATACGTGACACCAGGCAAGCCAGCTCGGTGAAGTATCTAAGCAATACGCAAGTTAAACTATCTGGCACAAAACCTCCCTTCCACCCCCCACACCACCATGTCTACGATGCGAGCTTAATAACATTGCTTTATCATCACAAAATTCGTTGCCCGAGGCTGCAGAAATCTCCCACCCTTATTAACAAACAAAACAACTCATCTGTGTATCGGACACCGGAGTCTCTGAAGGCGCTCGCGTGTGTGTTGGTGGACTGGAGGTGAGGAATGACGTCCACTCCCTCGCCTCGGCTGTGAACGCTTTAGCCACCAGCGGAGTGGGAGATGTGCTGAGACGTGCGATTCGGACGCTTCTGGCGATCTTTCGCACGGGACGGAAGATTGCGCGGCTCACTCGACATCAGTTTGGTGGCACTTTTTTTGTTGTTAAATCAACCAAATTCGCTCGTAGCCCTGTGAACGCGGGTTCGTCGTGTACATTGTGCGTGTCCTCGTTCGGGCGCTGTTGCCAATCCACTGCTGGATGAATCCCACACCCCCCTCCCCCCTTCCACGTCGCGTTGGTCGTGGGGTTATTTGAGCGTACATTTTAGTTTAACACTTAGTAGGCTTTCGCGACCAATGTCATCCACAATACAGGTTTTTTTAGGGTTAGATCGCGTAAATATATAAATGTGTCGTTAAACCCGCCACCACTTGACACAGCCAACTAGTAAGGGTTGTCACGCAAACAGAACGTGGCCAATTCGTCACTAGTACAACACACCGGTGTGTTGGAAAGCCAAGCCACAACATTTACAATCTGAGCACGACGTTTCGCCAGTAATTACAACCAGCTTCATCAGACGACAGACACATTTGTGGAGAAGTCCACCTGTATGTATTTAACCACGTTGGTCGGCGTCGGTGAAGACGGGGAGCATTGACTTGGGAGCATATAAGTGCAGTACAACAATGCATTTTGCTGCACTGACCGCTGCTGCCCAAGACGTAGAGCCTCACGGCACCGATGGCAAACCCGTTTGTCACCCATCCAAGCAACGTCCAGCCTTCCCAGCTTTGGCGAGACCGGCAGCATTCTGGACGATTCGGTCAGCCTGGTCATTAGCGTGTCACGGAACGAGCATTAGGCCTTAGATGGAGAGCCGATCCGTCATTTAATGTGCGCTCGGTTATTAAACTAATTTACAACAACAAAGACTCCGGATTTACGCGGATGCAAGCGAGTGACACTGTCAATCACGGCTAATCTGTTTCACTCTGAATCTCAATCACTCCCAAACAATGCACCAACGCGGGAGAAATCTACTTCGGGCGAAATGAAGCAGTCATCAGACGACGATTTATGACCGAACCAGCCTCGGCAGGCGCCCGTATCCTCCTATTCACACATCCCGGCTGGGTTCATGATTGATAAGCTTACTGAATAAGGAATGCGTAACGGAAAGGCATGGACAGCCCTAAATCCAATCGCTGTTCACGGCTACTTAGAGCGCACATCGAGGTTCTGAGCACCACACTGAGATTTCAACGACGTGGGGCCTCCCCTGCTTCTCCTCCTTCATCGGTTTGTGGACCTACACGGATGTTGCATTGCCTCTGGGCGTCTTCCATGATTCGTCGTCGTTTACATTTTTAGATTTGTCAAAAAAAAATTGGTTGCCCCTTTCTCTGAATTATCTCCCCCCCTAGTTGTCTCCCTTTTCGATTCGTATTTCATGCTTGTCTCGTCATTTCACGTGCTTGGAGATACTGCACTGTATTTAAGAGCCGCAAAAGTGTGAATTCTTATCCCTAACCCCTTATTTGTGTGTGTCACCACCCCTCCCTCCTTTTTATAATCATAGCTTGGCTCAGCCCCGCCTCGCTGGCCCTGCAAAAACACCCCAGCCGGTGCAGCTCTCTCCGTCCGATTTCCTGGACAAGCTCATGGGGAAAACATCCGGCTACGATGCTCGCATCAGGCCAAATTTCAAAAGTAAGGAAGTCAGTTTGTCTGTGTGTGTGTGTCGTACAAATGCTGATGATGATGCTGCTGCTGTTACTGCTGGGCACCACGGTGACCAGCTGTTAACTACCTCGACTGGTATACAGGAGATCGTGGGTTCGATCCCGACACTGACGCCTGCTGCTGTATATTTGGAGTTTGCACGTTCTCCCCTTGGTCACGTGGATTGTTCTCCTGGTCCTCCGGGTTTTGCCTCCACATTTAGAATCAAAATGCGTTGAGAGTGTGTGGCTGCTATAAATTTCCACGTGATAAGCCACTTCGTCGAGCGATCATTTGTGATAGCCAGGTCGCTTGTGAAAAAGCGTTATACAGCTCAGTGGGCCTTACCTGGTGAAATAAAAAATATATGGTTAACTCGTAACTCGGTTCTGGATAAGGGGGCTTGCCAGACAATGGTTTATTCTAGATTTGAAGCTTTCGTGACTGCAAGGATTCAAACTCTTAGGTTTTTCGGTAAAGTCACGTAGGTAAAAAATAAGTAATAAAAATATAATTGAAATAATAATATTTATTTTATTTCTATTAATATTTCAATTGTATTTTTATTATTAAAAAATGTTTTATCTACGTGACGTTACCTAAAAATCTAAGAGTATGAGCCAATGGTTTAGCCTAACAGCGAGGAGCTGTCCATGGTTCTGAACCAGCTGCGCAGGCAGCGTAAAGGATTAAACAAGAAAAGCGATGTTTAAACGACATCGGCACACGCCCGTGGGTTGATTTCAGCTTGTGAGAAAACGAATATGGGTTGTTAGACATGGCCCAAAGTATGTACTTTCACTACCTTCTGTCGAAAGATAAATGCGTTTCACTTACACGGGAATATTTCGCTGAGACTTATTTTTTTCAGGACTGTCCTGTTTTTTCAGATGTTTTAGCCCATTCAATTCGCACTTGTGGAAAGGGAAAGCGGAGTATCCAGATGAATATCAAGACAATGCGTGATGTACGAGATAATGTTATTGTTTAAACAATTGATGGCACGATGGTGTTTTATTATGTTTTTCATCAGGAGACCAAAGTTAAACTGTTGTGACATAATGACAGTTTTCCATTGCTTAAAGCATATTTGTAAGTATTGTGTTTTGTGTTGGGATGTAAAATCTTACTGATACACAATGGCACATGGTTATGTCACTATGGGTCATATATTTGCACTTCATTATAAAAAAGGCACTTTGGTAATTCACCATATACATTATCAGGCAGCTGCAGGGATTAAAAGGCTGACTTTATGGCGACTGGCCCTTTGGCAAGTAAGCTAGTAGCTAAATTATTTAGTCACTATTGTTAAGACAGCCTGGTTCGTGATTGGACGAAAACAAATATTTGGCCATAATATGCCTGCATTAATAACTAGACAGCCAAACAATGTGTGGCCATGTGAGATGTCACTAGAAAATGCATAACATTCAAACAATTACCTTTTACAAGAAATCATGTCTGCATTAACCACAATACTTGTGGTCAGAATGCAAAAAAAACATACTCTAATAATATATGCATTGTCTTTGAAACTGATTGGTCCACACCAGAGACAGCTTTCTTTTGAGCCTCGTCTCAAACGGTGTTAGACCAGAGGACGCCAAAAGGCGAATAAAGTAATGATAGCTCGGGTGAGCATCTACATCATGGGACCTGTTTTGCCAATACCAAAATGTGAGAATAGGTTTTTTTCGCCTTTTTTCTGATAAAAAAACTATTCTAATTCAAAGAATTAGCCAGAAAATACGAGAAGCACATATCCACATTTACACATTACAACCACGTGCATCTGGCAGTTACACTACTCGATTGATCGCATATTGTGCTGTCAATATTGGTGTTACAGATCACTCTCTGCACTGGGATATGTGCCAAAACACAATATTCCTCTGTAGTGTTTTTAAATATATTGGATCTATTATGGCAATCGTTGATTCAAACTATCTTTGTGGAAAATAAAAAATGTATGATTCATATGCTAACAAATTGCAGTGCTTTCTTAATTAATAATGTATCGGTTTGGCAGTACAATGCTTCCTTGATTGGGTTGAAAATCGTTGCACATTACATCTAGTATGTTAACAAACGGTGGGTACTGAATTTATCCACAAATGTAAAGCTAATATCACGAAATAAACTGAAAATGTACACTATTTCGTTAAAGTTTGGCAGGAGTAAACCAGAATATTTACTCATGAACTTGTATCTAACTATAATAGTCACCCAAACATAAATTATACGCAACTGCAAACTACACTAAAGCAAGAACTTTCACTGACAAATTGGTCTTTACCTTGTTTTATCACAATGTACTATCAAACAAACTTCCCTCATTGCCAAATGTATTCTCATTGCGAATTAATGTCCACAGTTTGTGAAACTGAATTGTCATACCAGCTTTTATAACACCTGTTATCCACCTGTAATTCCAAAATGTTTCCTTTAAAATGATTTAATCAATGTGTACGACCTGCTTTGGCATACGGTTCAGAAACACGGTCATTCACACAAAAATAAATGGAACAGTGAGCGAAATGTTCACAAAAGAGCACGGGGTCACGCACGATTGGAATTACACTGAGAAACATAAAAATGAACGCATGGATTAGAGGTCATACACAGGTTTAATGTTGTCATTCAAACTGTTTGGAGAAGTACAGTAAGTGAGCTTGTGCAGGATGACATCACGAGAAGGGATGACATCCAATCAAGCGCAGCGAGGGAGTGGCAGCCGACAGTAAATCCACCGAGGAGATGGAGCGATTAAATCAACTCATGTACAGGTGCTATGTGAATTATGACATCACGGGGTCGTAAGATGTGATGACGGCGTGAGAAGAAGATCTTCATCCAACAGCGGATCGTGCATGGCTGCTGATGATGATGATAATGAATGGTTTAAATCCAGAGGCGCGTAGGTGACAACCAGAAGCTGCGATTGGGGTTAACACTAAAAACGTTGAAAGGAGAAGTCATTCATGCCACTCAAATAACTTTAACGAGGACATCGACAATTGGTAATAGTGTTCTTTCAATGACAACCTTCCTACCGTAACATATTTGAAAATCGCTTGAACGGAACCTTTTCATCATTGCAAAGTTATTGCAATTGTACAACACTCGACTGAAATTATTTTAATAGGTTGGGTATGTTTCTGAAATGTCAGAGATGAAATTCACTAAAGTCACATTAGTCAGCCAACCAGAAGGCAAATCAGGCTAACCATGGTAGATCACTGTGCATTTATAAAGTTATTCTTGGGTTCGCAATAAGAAAAAGAGTCTATGTAATGTTCTCAGGATGTAGTCTTTAAATATTGGTTCGTAAATGCTGCTTAATATTTATAGTGTGGATATTTTACTGTGCTTTCATGAGACAAGATGATGATTATGGTGATGCTTATGATGATTACAATTACAATGTTTATGATGATGATCATCATGCTACATTGATGATGATGATAATTATAATGATTATTAACAACTGTGCCAAGTAACCTTTTACTGAACAATAATGATGATGTTCCATATGCAGCTTTGCAAGATAAGTCATAGCCATGCAATAAACAATGCTATTGATATCGAACGCATTTGCAATTCTGAAATAGCATGAAATAATAAAAATTCTGCCTTAGGCTTAATTTGATAAAAAAAATATTTAAAAGCAATAAAATATGCAAACGTTTCTGTGTAATTGACACTTTGCAGTTATATGCTGGGCGCCCCTTGGCGGAGCCAAATGCGGTGCGGTAATCGAGACAGAGCTGAGACGTTTGATAATAATTTTAGACATCTATCACCAGCATGCACTTAATGCTCAACCTGCCGATCGCAGGCACAACTCTCAAATCCCGTTTTTGGCATCTCATTAATTTAGCGGTGCCATTTGAGTGAAAATGTTCAGAGTACATTAGGAAAACACCTTCGCTTCAAACTACCATTAATTGGTCAACTAGCAGACTGCACTATGCTTGTAGATGCAACTGGTACACTGCAAGGCCAATTGTGAGTCAGGTCATCATGCGAAATTTCATAATCAACGTTTTTGGGTTTAGATCGCGTTATTTATAAATGTGTCGTAACCCTCCACCACCCGACATGGCCAATCAGTAAAAAAGTATCACGTTGACAAAAGACAAATAGTTCACTGCTTTAGCCCACCGGTGTGTTGAAGCGTGAAACCCAAAACATTTACAATTTGTTTCGCACTGCATCATTCAGTTTAACACGTAGTAGGCTTTCGCGACCAATATGATCCATAATAGAGATTTTGGGTGAGATCGCGTAAATATAAATGTGTGTCGTTAAGCCAGCCACCACCCCACACAGCCAGTTAGTAAGGTTTGTCGCGTAAATCAAACATGCCAATTCGTTACTAGTTCAGCACACCGGTGGGTTGGAGAGTAAACCCACAACATTTACAATTCTCGTGCATTATGCAGTTTAGATCTTACGTGTATTTGAGATGTTTAAACATGCAGAGCGATTAATGTGTATTTGCGGGTTGCATTTTATGCCGTAATTATTTAAGTTCACGGTGGCAACACATTTACAATGACTATGCAACGCATTGAGGATTACTTTGTGTAGGAACTACGGTTGTAAATAATCACCTGACTTAAGTAAACATTAATGACACAATTCTATTGTCTTACATTCTTTCACAAATGGTTTTGATGTTAATTGAATACATGAAACTGAAACAGAAAACTAAACAGAAATAACACTTCAAAGGCGCAATTGCGACACTGCTGGTGGAAATGTCTCCAGTGGAGCAAGCTCGAGAGAGACCCCCTCCACACCAACGTCAAAGGGTGTTTTGGCCTACTCTTCCACACTTGCCAGATGTCTCAGAAGAGGTGGAAGTGCCTACACTTTACCCCACCACACGCGGCCTGCCCATCGTGGTGTCCACATGTATTATGCTGGGCGGGCATAGAAACAGAGGGTGGCTTGAAGGAATCTCCCAATTGTTTCAACTA